TACAAAACAATGTAATAGTAGACATTTATACCCCTCACAAAGTGATAACCCTCCTCCCCCAATCTACTACTACTCTGTAATTGTATAAATCTGTAAAAATTCCATTGACTCTATTCCCTGTGCTGTACTCCACATCCTGTGACTATATATATTAAATTGTAGTTGACATTCATTATTATTCAGTTTCAGCATCAGGTGTACACTGCAATGACCTCGCATCTACACCATCCATGAAGTGTTCTTCCTAATAAGACAAGTGGCCATCAGAAACCTACAAAATCTTTACAATGTTATTGATTATATTCCCCAAACTGTGTTTTGTATCCCCATGGCAAAGGAACTCTTACAATAGATTTCTTTATAGAGCATCCAAAATCATAAACTTAAAATATTTAAAATACCTGTGTACCCCCACATTAAAAAAAAAACAACTACATTCCATTCACAGACATTTATGATGATAGTGAGATATTACACTAAAAAAGTAACACCAGATAGGGAGGGACAGCCAGTCAAACAAACTAACAAAGAAGATACAATGAGAAATTGATCTAATCATGTTGAGGGAAAGTCCCAGGAAAAGCAGAGGTGAAGAGGCTTAAGAAGATATGGATTCATTTGTATACACCAATAATAAACTATCAGAAGGAGAAATTAAGAAAGCAGTCCAATTTAAACTTGCTTCAAAAACTATAAAATGTTTAGGAATGAATTTAACCAAAGAAGTAAAAGACCTGTCCTCAGGAAATAATAAGACACTGAAGAGAGGAATTAAAGATGATACAAATAAATGGAAACACATACCATGCTCATGGATAGGAAGAATTAATGTAGCTAAAATGTCCATACTGCCTAAGGCAATATATAGATTCAACGCAATTCCTATCAAACTACCAAGGATATTTTCAGAGAAATAGAACATAGAATCCTAAAATTTATATGGAACTAAAAATGACCCCAAATAGCCAAGGCAATCTTGAGAAATAGAAATAAAGTGGGAGATGTCACGATACCTGACATTAAATCTTATGACAAGGCTATAGTAATCAAAACAGCATGGTAGGGCTGGTTAAATTTCTCAGTGGTTAGAGCGTGAGCTCTGAGCAACAGGGTGCAGGTTCGATTCCCACATGAGCCAGTGCGCTGCGCCTGAGCTGAGCTGTCGCTGAGCTGCTAATGGGTGTCCTGATGACTCAGTTGGTTAGAGTGCATGCTCTTAACAACAAGGTTGCCAGTTAAACTCCCCCATGAAATGGTGGCCTGCCTCCCCCGCCCCCCGCAACTTTGAGCTGAGCAGCTGCAAGCCGCCTACAGGTGGCTGTATGACTGAGTGTGCAACAAGGTTGCTGGTTTGACTCCTGCATGGGATGGTGGACTATACCCCCCTCTCCCACCGCCCCCCCTCCCAGCAACTGGATGGAAAGTGGTGACTGGACTTGGAGCTGAGCTTGCGTCCTCCACTACTAAGGTTGAAGGACAACAACTTAACTTGGAATTGATGGGTCCTGGAAAAGCACAACTTTCCCCTTCCCCAATTCCCCAACACTGTTCCCTTCCCCAATTCCCCAGTAAAATCTTAAAACAAAAAACAAAACAAGAAAACCCAGCATGGTACTGGCATAAAAACAGACATATAGATCAATGGAACAGAATAGAGGGCCCAGAAATAAATCCATATCTATATGGTCATTTAATCTATGGCAATGGAAGCAAGACTTTACACTGAGGTAAAGACAGTCTATTTAATAAATGGTGCTGGAAAAATTGGACTGACACATGCAAAAAAATGAAGTTGGGCCACCTCCTTACGCCATATGCAAGAATAAATTCAAAATGGATTAAAGACTTAGATGTAAGATCTGAAATCATAAAACTCCTAGAAAAAAATATGGAAGTAAATTTTCAGACATTACCCTTAGTATTATTTTTATTGATATATCCCCTTTGGCAAGGGAAGAAAAAGCAAAAAATAAACATATGGGATTACATCAAATAAAAGTTTTTTCACAGCAAAGGACACCATCAATAAAACAAAAAGGCATCCTACTTAGTGAATGGGAGAAGATATTTGTCAATGATACATCTGATAAGGGATTAATATCCAAAATTTATTCAACTCAACACCAAAACAACAAACAGCCCGATTAAAAAATGGGCAGCGGACATGAAGAGACATTTTTCTAAAGAAGACATACAGATGGCCAACAGACATAAGAAAAAAAAATGCTCAACCTCACTAATCATTAGAGAAATGCAAATAAAAAGCACAATTAGATACCACCTCACTCTGGTCAGAATGGCTAACATCAATAAATCAACAAACAAGTGCTGGGGAGGATGTGGAGAAAAGGAACCCTGGTGCACTGTTGGTGGGACTGCAGATTGGTGCAGCCATTATGGAAATCAGTATGGAGGTATCTCAAAACACTGGAAATGGAACTTCCTTATGACTCAGCAATTCCACTCTTAGGTATCTATCCAGAGAAATCCAAAATGCTAATTTGGAAAAATATATGCACCCCTGTGTTTATTGCAGCACTATTCACAATAGCCAAGCCATGGAAACAACCGAAATGCCCATCAATAGATGACTGGATTAAGAAATTGTGGTACATTTATACAATGGAGTATTACTTGGCCATAAAGAAGAATGAAGTGTTACCATTTGCAACGATATGGATGGACCCAGAGAACATTATGCTAAGTGAAGTATTGGGTTGTTGGAAAAGTCATGACGCATTGTTGCAATGAAAAACAGAAAAAATACGCCATGACTTTTCCAACCACCCAATAAGTCAGACAGAGAAAGACAAGTACCATATGATCTCACTCATATGTGGAATCTAAAGAATAGAATAAATGAACAAACTAATCAGAAACAGTCTCAGAGACACAGAGAAAAAACTGACGGTTGCTAGATGGGAGAGGGGCGGGGATGAGGGAAAAGGGGAGGGGATAAGAAAGCACAGATTGGTGACCACAAGATTGCCACAGGGACATGAAAGACAGTTTGGGGAATAGTGTCAATAATGTTGTAAATATTTCATAGGGTATCCGATGGCCGCTTGTCTTATAAGGGAGACCACTTCATGGATGGCATAGGTGCCTGACCACTGCAGTGTACACCTAATGCTGAAGCTGAATAATAATGAATGTCAACTACAATTTAATATATATCAATAGTCACAAGATGTGGAGTACAACATAGGGAATAGAATCGATGGAATTTTTACAGATTTATACGATGTCAGAGGGATAGTAGATTGAGGAGGGGGTTATCATTTTGAGAGGGGTTTAAATGTCTACCATTACATTGTTTTGTACACCTGAAAGTGATGATAATAATAAAAAAAAAGAAGACATGGATTTTCTCCTATAACATTGAATCTCATTTCCAATTACTCTGCTCTCCTCTGTCTGGGGAGGAGACGTCTCTGTGTCTCATGGGTGGGCTCCCGTTCCCTCTGGCTCCTGGTTCCTCTCAGTGAAAAGGAGACACTAGTTGGTGGCTGGAGAGCAGGAGGGTGATTTAGGATTTTCAACTCCCTGCTCTCTGCTGCCAGGCTGTGAGTTAGCAGTGGCTTTGTTACTGTAGCTAATGACATGGCCTCTGGTTGGTGACCTTTCTTACAGTCACAGTGACAATTACTGCTACACCCACAGCCCTTCCTGAGTTCTGGTAACTTCTCCTTCCCTCTCCCCTCAGAATACACAATGGTAAGACCTCCCTATTATGACTTGTAGTTGGGGTGCCTCTGCATCCTTTATAGATTTCCCTTAGTCTACCAATACTTTGTGCACAGTCCCTTTATTAAATTCTCTTCAATTAACCCATTAGATTGTGCTGTGTGTTTTCTGCTGGGGCAAGCCAGATACAACGATACAAGAAACATATAAACAATCAAACAAACCCATTGGACAACAAACTAATCTGTGAAAATGAGGTTATTAACAATTTAGCCTTGGAAAGAAATGTGTGCTTGCCATCTGGTTCCCTAAATTAAAATTAGCAAAATATTTCTCTCCGTAGTTGAACATTTGAATGTTTGGAGAGAAAGGGAGAACTAGGGAGATAGAACAGAAACAGAAAGAACCTGGATGGCCCCATGTGGACATCCATAGTTCAAGCTCCCAGCTCCCAAAGCTTTCCTGAGGGAGCTTCATGTGTGCTGACTCTCGCTGATGGGTGCCCATGGATACCTGTCTTCCCTTCCCCAAAATGAAATCGTATCTGTGGACTAAAAGCAGAAAAACAACACTGCCTTTTAGAGAGAACAGTTTTGAGCCAACTCTTACCTTAGCGCCATCTTCTCGTTGAGGGTGGTGAGTAGAAAAGAAAGAGCTCTCCTGGGACACGAACAGCAGAGAATGCTTCTCTACCCTCTGGATAGGAGGTGCCTGCAGGAGCAGGAGTGAAATCTTGTGACGACGAGACTCTCATCAAGATGCTGGACAGCCCCTGTGATTTCCTGCACAGGGGTTCTGGCAAATGAGATTCTGGAGATGTGTGAGACAAGGACCACACAAGACATTTCTCATTGGTCCGGACTCCAACCACTTATCACAGCCTCTCCCTATCTTTTCCCATCTGAACCCCCTCCCTGTGAGGAGTGGCTGACCTGGAGCCTTTCAATGCCCACTGTGAGCCTGTGCAGGAAGCCCACCCACCAGGCAATGTGAGATTCCACAGCTAAAGAACACTGTGCTTGGCATTCAGGGCCCTCCATGGCCTGGCTCACCTGATCTCTTTACATTTGCTCACAGAAGTAAGGCATGCACATTCGTTTTATTACAGAGGACACCAAAGTGTATACAGTGAAATGTAAAGTCTCTCTTCATCTGCTTTTCCAATAGAGGCCGATGTTTACAGTTCCATTTTTAGCTCTTTACCACTTATATTATAGCTTCGCATAATCAACTATTAATATATTAATATATTTCTGGTTTTGATTTATCAGTGTCAACAACAGAGTTTATTGAGTCCCCTTGTAAAATTTAAGAAATTTAGCACACCGCACACACTATCTGTTGCCTTTCTCCCTCTACTCATGATATTTGTTAGCTAGATGATTGTAGATGACCTAGGGACAACCAGTATTTGCAGCCTTCGCTCCTATGACTTCCTTTCATGTGCCCACGATGCAGCCCAGTTCAGTTACTTGTCATTTTCTTTAAAAACTTAACTATGGAGCATTTAAAATAGAAAGACTCATTCACTCATTTCTGCATTGACCCAGTACTACTGTGTACCTGTGCTGTGTCAGGCACTGTTCCAGGCAGGGAAGATGCAGTGATGAATAACACACAGGACTATGCTCAGGCATTCTAGAGGTGCTGGGTGAGCTCACCTTGGTAGTAAGTGTTGATGGAGAAGGGCTTGGAGATTCAGCATTAGGGCCTCCACCTTCCAGACCTCTGGAAGAAGAGAGGACCCAGCCAACACAATAGTAAGAAGGAGCTCCTGAAGGAGGGGTAATGAGGACAACATAGTGTCCTGAGCCTGAACTGAGAGACCGATTCTAGCAGATGGGAGTGAGCAATAGTCTCAATCCTCCTTGAGGCACTGAGTGAGATGATTCTAAGAATTGACCTTGGCATACACAATATAGAGTCACTGCCGATTGTGACAGGTGTGGTTCCAGTGGATGGTGAGGCTGGAGATTGAAAGAGTGGGATTAGGAGAGATTGGAAGGTCGTGTGATAATCCACCTGGAAACCCCAGAGAATCAGCTGACAATCAGCACAGCGAAAGACAGTTCAGAAACATGGCTGGGTACAAAATTCCTTTACAGGAAACAACAGTTCTCCTGTATATGCAAAAATAAAAAAGTTAGGAAACATAATACAATGTGACCTCAAATTCTTCTGGGTATAATAGAAAACCATGAGGACTAAGCACCCCTAATAGATGTTAGAAGCTACCCTGACCCTATAGAATATAACAGTGTTTTGCTAACATAGAACAGCAGGCAGGAAGTCTCAGGGATCAAACACAGTGCATGTGGGATTCAGCCTATAAGGAGGGGCTATTTCTAATGGGAGGGGCGGAGATGGGCTATTTAATAAGTGTTATTGGGTATTTGGAAGCCAGCTAGAGTAACACACGGCAGGGATCATACCTCAGATCTTACACCCTGTTAAATTTTAAATGGATGGTTAATATATATATAAGAAAATCATATAGAAACAGAAAAAAAGGGTATGAATTATTTTGTAACCTTATAGTGTTTCTGCCTAACCTTGACGTAATATTCAAAAGCCATAAATAAAAATATTGATTAAAAGAAATTAAAATTAAAAATAATTTTCTCTATGAAAAAAGCCACCATTAGAATGCCACAGAAGGAGCTGGAAAAAGTATTTACAATGTACCTTTAGACAAACTCCTAAGTTACAGCAATATGAGAATTTTAAAATATTTATTATATATAAATAAATATTTATGTATCTCCTACCCATTACTTAAGAAGAACCCTAGCACCTTAATAGGAAAATAACCAATTCGGTTCCTAGATAACCCATGAATCTTAGACATCACAAATAATGCTAAAACATACTCAGGTGAGAAAGGGTAATTGAAACCTCACTGAGATATGTTCACCTTCGAATTTCCAAGTATCCAAAGGCCTAATACCCTGTGTTGGGAAGAGAATGAGGTGAGTGGCACTGCCACGTGCGTGGCTGTCCCAAGAAAAGGGCAGCTGCTCCCATGAGGCTCTTCACACAGACCTGCACTGGTAGGAGACACTGCCCAACCTTGAGGGTTTAGTCAGCAGGCATTAAAATCTGCCTTTTACAAGAAATAGGTCTCTACATCTTCTCATTCTATTTTATATTTAAAATATTATTATTTTTATTACTATGCTATTAGTAGTGGTAGCGGTGGTATTGAATCTTCCCATTTAAAATGGATTGCGATTTCATCAAAAAATGGGAGCAGAATTGAAAGTTCTTCTGTTCGACCCAGGACATGACGGGAGGACATTTATGGAGGATGTTTGTTTCTCCTTGACTTGTCTGGAAGTTTTCATCTCTATGTCAATTTCCCAGGCAATTACTTAGGTCTTTAACATACTTGTGTAAAATCTAAAGATAATCAGTGTTTTTAACCTGTAAAGGAGTCCACTTTTATCATCTTTATGCAAATTAGGAAAAGGTGGCCTTTCTGAGCTGAGCTAACCCTGCTCTTGTTTTTATGTGAAGACCTAAAGTGCCCCTTCCTTCCCAGTAGCCACAGCCCTGCACCTGGACACAGCGTTAGCCAGCACGTTGTGTCTCAGCCCCTCTCCCTCCTCTGCCTTGGACATTGTTTGGTGCAGTGGGCAAACCCACAGCTGTCCCAGGAGTCTGCCCTCCTGATGAAACACACCAAGACCTTAGAGAGCTTCAACCTCTGTTTCCTTCCTCCCAAACTGCTGTGCTCCAGGACTTCATTTTGATTCTGTTTTTCACCAAGAAATTAAACTTATTATTGTTTTCAATAGTCAGTGTTTGTTTAAGTGTATTCCCATAAGCAACAATGTTCCTGCTCACCTCCCCATTTCACATGTCATAGCTTCTATTCCTTAAAACACATTCTTCAGGTGTCCTTTTGTGAAAGTCTGTGGGAGGTGAAAGCGCTGTAGTTTTTCTCTACCTGAAAATTTCATAGTGTCCCCTCATTTTCTTTTCTTTTTTTTTTTTAAAAGATTTTTATTGGGGAATTGGGAGATGGGGACAGTGCTGGGGAATTGGGGGAAGGGGAACAGAGAAGTTGCTGTCCTTTTGTTCTACAGTCTAGTTGTGGAGGACGTTGCTTCACTGGCCCAAGCTGGCACCATCATTGCACTCTTCCTGGGCGAGGCAGATCAGTCGCCGGCTTCTGGACAGCCGCTCACGGCGGCTGCTGGCCACTCACGCTGGTGCAGGCTACACACGGTAGCCCATGGCAACCCACTGCAGCAGGGGCTGCAGCCTAGCCATCGTCGGCGACTCATGGCAACCCAGCTCCAGGTTGAGCTGTTGTTCAGCATCTTAGCTGTGGAGGGCAGTGTCACTGGCCCTCATATGTGGGATCCAAACCGGGGCCCTCTGGCATCCCAAGCCAGTTCCCCTTCATTTTCTGAAGATGCTCTTTTCAGGTATAGCTTCGTAGGAGGACTTGTCCTTTCCTCCAGCACGTTGAAGATTCACTGTCTTTGGTGCCAGTGTTACTGTTGTGAGATTGGCCATTCGTCAGGCTGCCATTCAGTTGCAATGATCTGTCTCTTTCCTTTATAAGAGCTTTCCTTCTATCTGGTGTGGTACACTTTCACCATGATTTGTCTAGTGGCTTTCTTTTTCATATCATATTTGGTGTTTTGGAGTTTCCTGGATTTCAGAACTATTAAATTTAATATATCTGGAAAGTTTTCTGCTATTATTTCTTCAAATATTACATAGTGGTTAAGAACACAAACCCTGGAGCCAGGCTGCTTTGCATCTCTATGTGGTTTAGACAACTCCTCTGTTTTAGCTTCTTCATATGTAGAGTGGGAATGACATTATTACCTACTTTAGAGGTTTGTTGGGATGATTAATGAGTTCATTACATAACCAATGAGGACAGGGACACATACTAAGTAGTATATACTTGTTAGCTCTTTTGTGATGCTTATTATTATTGCTTTCTACAAGTCTAATCCATCACATGTTCAAGTTTCCTTTTCTATTTTGCATACCTATAAATTCTCCTTTTTATTTTCCATATCTAAGTCTCCTAGGCAGCTTCTGGGTAATTTCTACTGAAGTATCTTCTAGGTTGGTAGTCTCTTTTTGTTGTGTCTAGTTTTCTACTTAATCCATCCACTAAATTTTAAATTCAATTTTATTTATTTATTTATTTATTTATTTATTTATTTATTTATTTATTTTGTAGAGGGCAGTGTCACCAGCCCTCATATGTGGGATCCGAACCGGGGCCCTCTGGCGTCCCAAGCCAGCTCCCACCATCGCGCCACTTGGAAGGCCCAATTTTTATATTTTAATTTCTAGAAGTTTTACCTGAGATTTTGTATTTAAATTTTACTGGTTGTATTTTAGTCTCTTGATTTGGCTCACATTTTCAATTCTCTTTGATGTGTCTTTAACACTATTAAGCATGGCAATATTATAATTCTCTATCCGATCAGTCCAATACGTGTATCTGAATTTACAGTCTATTGTTCCTTTCATCACCTTATGCTGCCTTGTTTCTTTGTGTGCTGTGAGTTTTGATTGTGGGCTGCCCATGTTCCTTGGCAGTTCATTTGTGGAAATTCTTTGAGGCTTAAATTATAGCTGAGTTCCTACAGACAGGGTCTGTGTTTTGTTTTGCTGAATGACTGGGGGATCTTATCATCATGGCTTTCATCTATCAGGGTGTCCCCAGAAACCTCCTCTGTCATTTGAAGTTTCAGGGATACCACAGGTTTTGTGACTATGGATCATGGTGTGATACTGACTTGTGGCTACAAATTCTCAAGAGAGAGAATTTTTCTTCACCCAGAGCCAAGCTCGATCAAGCAACTTGTTGGTGGTTTTATTTATCACTATTGAGAAATACACTAAAGGTTTAGTCTTTTGAGGTCCCAACCTCTCATGGGGCACTTCTTGTGGACTTTTTACCTTTGGGTTGTTCTAAAACTGCATATTCTAACCTTGCTAGGTCATGCATGATTGTAGCCATAATAGGAAATATGAATCTCTGTCTGAGAGCAGGAGATCCACAACAGGAATTTAATCAAGTAAATAACTTCATCACCTCTGTGCTTCAGAAAAGTCTCTCAGGCTGCCTAGAGGAGAATATATGGAATACAGATTAAAACTATAAATCTCTAGTTATACTTCTACATGGAAACAATTACATAAATCCTTTGGTATACACACAAAATTTCAAACTCTTTATAGTGTTTCATAATAAGTAGTATATTTTCAATTTGATAATTATTAATTGTATAAACTCTTCAGCCTGATTTTCTTACCTTCAAACTGAGATGCTTTTTCTGTGATGAATTTAAAGATAAGAAACTTTGGTACCTGGTGAGGCATGTGCGTCTTATTACCCTTCCATTCCCCATGGTTCTGTTTTGTACCGAAGGGAGTGGAGACTTCAAGGATGGCTTTCTCTGAGGCCAACCTTGATTCCAGGATGACTCTCATTGATCAAGTTCTTAATGGTTCCCTGCAACTCCCATTTTCATCACTGTGATACACTCATCAATCTAGGTCCCTCTGCATCGCACACAAATTCGTGTTATGAATTCTTTCCATTCGAGCTGAGAATGAAGGGCAGTATCATCTACAAAGTCCCCATAAAGAATAGTTTTATTTATGGACTGTATGTATGAGAGTGTGTGTATGTGTTTGCATGTGTAGCTGATTTTACTACATGAGCTTGCACATGTATCTGTTTTGAGAAGGTTCTTGCTCATCCCTGTGTCTGGGCTTCTTCTCCTTCCACTCGATGTGGACACACCAACAGCTGTAAGCCAAGCAGAAACAATGAACCCAAGAGAGTGGGGAGTATCCTGAGGGTGTCATTTTATCTCTGGATCCCACTCTGTCTGAAGCTAGTTAGCTTCCTTTGCAGACTCAGTTATTTGGTCCAATAATGTCCCATTTCTAATAAAACTAATTTAATTTGGGTCTCTGCTTTGTTCACACAGTCAGAAATATGTCCACAAGAAAGCATTTATCACATAGCACTTTAAACATCTGAGGACATATTCCTCTTCCTTTGCACTGTGAGTTCTTTGACAATAATGAACATGTCTTTGAGCCCTAGTGCCTGGAACAGTGCCTGATGGACCCAATGCTCATTGAATGTTTCTTTGTGTGTGTGTTTGTTTGTTTGTTTGTTTCTCTTTTTTTAGAAGTACATGCATATGTGTCCTCAAGCATGTGTGAATTAATGATTAAATAGATGACTTGGAGAAGTGTGGTTTGGGAAGTCATTCTGGGCAGAGAACTTCTAAAGCTTAATTGTGAAAAACATCTGTCAATAGAAGAGCAAAAAAAGTGAAGACGAAGAATATTTAACAGGATAAATTCCACTTTAAGTTTACCCAACATTGAAGAAACACAGCCCTTGTGGGAAATAGAACCTATCTGTAGTTGCCTTAGATTAGTTTCTCACTTCCTGTGTGATTTGGGAAGTGGTGTATTGAGGGATTGGGGGAGCAGGCCAGTGTGACATAGAGAATCACAGTGGAGTCAGAGAAAGTGAAAGATTTGCTGGGGTTGGGGGTGGGGACAGAAAAGTCACTGGGTTATAGGATCCTTACTATAGATAACCCTTTGGGAAGTGGGTTTCACAATCTCTTGTCTCTTCTTGGCCAGGGTGGAAAGACTATGGCTGTGTGATCAGAAGGATGGTTGACTTATGATGACCCAGCCATGAGGGGCTGGAGGAAATAGATCAAGGTTGGCCTGAAATGGCTGAATGGAGGGAAGAACAGGCACAGGCTTCAGCGAGAGAAAGATGAGTCAAGTTGTGCTAGCTGAGGAGGGCAGGAGGTAGGAACTCCCTCATGAGAACACTGTGCCGCTTCTTGCTGAGTTATGGTTGCCTGCAGTCCTTGCTTAGGAAATCACACAGCTTCTTAGACTCTGGATGATACAGATAAGGCAACAACGTCTACAGGGCTCTCTCAAGCTATAGGCCTGGGTTGGAAAGAAAGTGAGCACGTGGGATTCTACTAGAGGCACGTGAGAGGAAACACCGAAGGACATCCTACTTGAAATTTATATATGTTTTGATATTCATTTATCAGGCCATAAAATTTAACTTCATGCTTGCAAATGTTGAAAATGGTGAAAGCAGTTAACTTAAAGATAGTGTCTCAAATCTAGCAAATAGGGATTGAGCACACAGATTGGAAATTTCACTAATTTATTAAGTCATTGATATAACAAATATTTATTACTCTACTCATTATGCAGCTACTATAAGGCCTGACAAAACCAAAGAAGACTGGCTTTGGGGGCTAGATTAAATTTTATTACTGTTAATGTATTGAAATAGATTGTAGGAAAATAACCAAAAAAAATGTCAAAAATGTAATGTACCTTTAATTTCTATCAAAGGCGGTAATCAGAGAAATTTGGAGTTTTCCAGCACTCCTTTTAGCCCCTGCTGAAGGTAGGATTCTTCAAAACTAGGAACTGCCCTGGACCCCAGTGCTAGCAAAGCTCCCAAGGGGGTGTGATGAATATCCTGGGTAAGGCAGTCCTTGAGGCACTGCACCCAGTGTGTGTTTAATAGGCACACTGTCACTTAATCCTCATTAGCGGGATTATTATGTTAATTGTTTTAATTCAGAGGCCCAGAGGCTGAGACTTAAGAAACCTCCCTAACTGATAGGGACAAAATGAGTTCTCTAAACCCCATGTGTCTGAACAAAGCAAGACTCTGAATCAGGACACCAGACTGCTTCCCGACATCTCCAGGGCTTCCTGAGGAAGACTTCCTCCATGTTCATCCCCCTCAGGAAGGTCCTGCAGAGCCCTCTGGAGAACCAGGTTCAGGGTCTGCCTTCCCTTCCTCCATCGTTGTCTAAAGGAGCCAACGAGGAAGTAAATGATGGGGTTGGCACAGCTATTGACACAGGACAAGACATGTGAAATCTGGTAAATGTGAGAGGAGGACTCATATAATTTAATGTCAATATAGTATATGAGGAACCTGTAGATGCCCAAGGGCAGGCCACAGAGGAGGAAGACCAGCACTGTGAGCAGGATGGTCACATACAGCCTGGTCAGCTGCACCCGCTGGGAGCCACACAGCAGTCTGCTCACCAGGGCCAGGCTGGACCCTGAGAGAAGCACAAACAAGAAAATCAGCCACCCAGCAGTGATGAAATTAAATACTGGACACCAGACCTGGGATAAATCCCTAAACAGGAATCTACAGTACATCCCACCTGGGATGCTCAGCAGCAGGGATAGTGCCCAGAGCAGGGCACACATGATGGCCGACATGTGTGTGGGGCGGTGGCAGCGGTACCAGATGGGCCACAGGACGGACAGGCAGCGCTCAGTGCTAATGGTGCTGAGAAGGCTCAGGCCTGTGATGTAGGCAAAGGTGAACACAAGGATGAAATAGCTGCTGAAGGAAATGTAGATAGCATGGAAGTTGTTGATGAGTTTACTGAGGGAACGTACAATCTGGCAGCAGAGGAAGAGGAAGTCGGCTCCCGCCAGGTTGAGGATGTAGACAGAGAAGGCGTTCCTCCGCGTGCGGAAGCCCAGGAGCCACAGCACAACCGCGTTTCCTGCCAGCCCAACCATGTCTATGATGATTATCAGCAATGCTGAGATTAGGGTCCCCATGTTGAAATTTGGAAGAATAGCCTGGTCACTTCCATTCACTGGTGGAAATGTAGTCCCCCAGGCTGGGAGCGTTGTGTTCATGTTCGGAAACCCTCCACTGGTGCCACTAGAAAAGAAAAAATAGTTGAGCACCTGATATATGATGTCTGACTCTCACGGCCACCCTGCTACAAGAGAATTACTGTCCCTGTGTCACAGAGGAGGGACATGGAGGCTGCAGAGATTAAGATACTTCCTGAAGGCCACACAGCCTTGGTGTCCTGGAACCTGGATTCAAACCCAGTTTCTCTGACTCTAAAGCCTGTGCTCTCTCTACTGCAACACGGACCCTGTATAGACTTGGGAATAATCTATAGTCCAAACACCTCTCTTCATAGACCCTGGTCATGACATGTCTCCTGGAGGCAAGAGAAGAGAAGTCAGGACAGGGTATGTGGGATGAGAACAGGACTGAGCTCAGCATTCCTTCTGCCCTGGGACTGAGATTTCCTTTGAGGACAGGAAGTTGGAAGCCCAATGAATGATCTATGGGCTACCTCAGTGACTGAGAGTGTCCATCCACCAGAAAGGAAATCATGATTTAGGGTCATGAAGAGAATGTGACCTCTTGCTTTTAGAGGTGTGAGTATGGCCAGAACTCTAGAGTTGGAAATGGCCCAGTGTGTCAGCTTTATGTGGCAGAAGAAAGTCATGGAGTTGAAAACCCTAAATCACCCTTCTTTTGCTCCCCAGGTCCCCATCAGTGTCTACTTTTCACCAAGAGCAACCAGGGGCCAGAGGTGTGCCCTGTCCATCGGTGAGCCCCAGTGCCTAGCTCTGTGTGCGGACACAGTTTAAGGAGCTCTTATAATGGATTTCTCCCTAGAACATCCAAAATCATAAATTTAAAGTATTTATAAATACCTGTGTATACCCACATTTAAAAACAAATGTACATTCCTTTCACAGGCATTTATGATGATAGTGAGATATCATTCCAAAAAATTATCACCAGATTGGGAGGGACAACCAGTCAAATCAACAAACTAAGGAGATACAATGAGAAATTTATCCAATCATATTCAGAGAAAACTCATAGGAAAAGTAACTGTGAAAAGGCTGTAAGAAGGAATGGATTTTCTCCTATGACATCAAATCACATTTCCATTTTCTCCTCTTTTTTGTGTCTGGGGAGGAGATGTCTCTGTGTCTCATGGATGGGCTCCCGTTCCCTCTGGCTCCTGCTTCCTTTCAATGAAAAGGAGATACTGGTAGGTAGCTGGAGAGCAGGAGGAGAGGGATTTAGGGCTTTCAACTCCCTGCTCTCTGCTGCCAGGCTGTGAGTTGGCAGTGGCTTTGTTACTCTCCCTAAGGACTTGGCCTTGTGTGGTGGCCTTTCTACAGTCACAGTGACAGCTCAGCTCCAGCTACACCCACCACCCTCCCTGAGTTCTGGTAGCCTCTCCTTCCCTCTCCCCATCAGGACACACAATGGTAACAGCTCCCTATTATGACTTGTCTTTGGGGGCCTCTGCATCCTTTATAGATTCCCTTAGATCTGCCTACACTTTGCGCACAGTCCCTTTATCAAACTTTCCTCATTTACCCCATTAGATTGTGCTGTGTGTTTTCTGCTGGAATAAGCCAGATACAAGGATACAAAAACCAAACAAATAAACAAACAAGCAAACCCATTGAACTCCAAGCTAATCTGTGAAAGTGAGGTTATTAACAACAAATTAGCCTTGGAAAGAAATATCTACTTGCCATCTTGTTCCCTAAATTAAAATTAGCAAAACATTGCTTTCCATAGTTGCACATTTTAATTTATGGAGAAAAAGCGAGAACTAGGGAGATACAACAGAAGCAGAAAGAACCTGGTTGGCCCCGTCTGGCATTCCCAGAGTCTTCAGCTATAATCCCCCAAAGCTTTCCTGAGGGAGCTTCATGTTGCTGACTGTCACTGATGGGGCCCATGGCTCCCTGCCTGCCCCTCCCCAAGATCATATCTGTGGACTAAGAGCAAAAAAACAACACTGCCTTTGTGAGAAGACAGTTGTGAGCCAACTCTTACCTTAGCACCTTCTTCTCGTTATGGGTGTTGAGTAGAAAAGGAAAAGCTCTCCTGGGAGAGACAAACAGCAGAGAATGCTTCTCTACCCTCTGGATAGGAGGTGTCTGCAGGAGCAGGAGTGAAACCTGGTGACTAAGAGAGGCTTATCAAGATGCTGGACAGCCCCTGTGATTTCGTGCGCAGGGGGCACTGACAAATGAGATTCTGGAGATGTGTGAAACAAGGACCTCATGAGACATTTCTTGTTGGCCCTGAACCAACCACTTATCACAGCCTCTCCTCATCCTCCCCGTCCGACCCCCCTCCCTGTGAGGAGTGGCTGACCTGGAGCCTTTCACTGCCCACTGTGAGCCTGTGCAGGAAGCCCACCCACCAGGCAATGTGAGATTCCACAGCTACAGAACACTGTGCTTGGCATTCAGGGCCCTCCATGGCCTGGCTCACCTTATCTTTTTACATTTACTCACAGAAGTAAGGCATGCACATTCGTTTTATTGCAGAGGACACCAAAGTGTATACAGTGAAATGTAAAGTCTCTCTTCATGTCATTCTCCAATAGCAACTATTGTTTACAGTTTCCATTTTTAGCTCTTTACCAGTTATATTATAGCTTTGCAGAATCAAACTAGATCTCTAGTTTTGATTTATCAATGTCGACAACAGAGTTTATTGAGTTCCCTCATAATGGATAAGAAATTTAGCATACAGCACACACTATCTGTCGCCTTCTCTCTACTCATGATATTTTTTGGCTAGATTATTGTAGATAACCTAGGGACAAACAGTATCTTCCGTCTCATCTCCTATGACTTAGTTTCATGTGCCCATGCTGCAGCCAAGTTCAGTTAGCTGTCATTTCCTTTGAAAACTTAATTATGACACATTCAAAATAGTGAGAAAAACTCATTCACTCATTTCTGCATTGACCCAGTACCACCGTATACCTATGCTGTGCCAGGCACTGTTCCAAGCAGGGAAGATGCAGTGATGAATAACGCAGAGGACTATGGTAGGGCATTCCAGAGGAGCTAGGTGACATCACCCTAGGAGTAAGTGTTGATAGAGAAGGGCTTGGAGATTCAGCATTAGGGCCTCTACCCTCCAGACCTCTGGAAGAAGAGAGGACCCAGCCAACTCAGTAGTAAGAAGCAGGTCCTGAAGGAGGGATAACGAGGAGAGCACAGTGTCCTGAGACTGAACTGAGAGACCGATTCTAGCAGATGGGAGTGAACAATAGTCTCAATCCTCCTTGAGACACTGAGTGAGATGAGTCTAAGAATTGACCTTGGAATACTCAGTATAGAGTCATTGCCGATAGTGGCAGGTGTGGTTCAAGTGGATGGTGGGGCTGGAAGATCGAAAGGGTGGGATTAGGAGAGATTGGAAGGTGGTGTGATAGTCCACCTGGAAAACCCCAGAGAATCAGCTGACAATCAGCACAGCGAAAGACAGCTCAGAAAGATGGCTGGGTACAAAATTCCCCTACAGGAAACAATAGCTTTCCTATATGAAAAGAAAAAAAATTAGAAGACATAATAAAATGTAACCTCAATTTATTCTTGAAACAATAGGAGCCATGAGGACTAACCAGCCCTCATAGATGTTAGAAGCTACACTGAGGCTTCGGGAATATAACAGTGTTTTGCTAACAAAAAGCAGGCAGGAAGTCTCAGGGATCAAACCCAGTGCATTTGGGATTCAGCCTATAAGGAGGGGCTATTTCTAATGGGAGGGGCGGAGATGGGCTATTTAATAAGGTTATTGGGTATTTGGAAGGCATCTAGAGTAACACATAGCAGGGATCATACCTCAGATCTTACACCCTGTTAAATTTTAAATGGATTGTAAATAAAAAATCATATAGATTTAGAAAAAAAAGGAGCATAAATTATTTTGTAAGTTTATGAAAGTTCTGCCTAACTTTGATCTAATAGTCAAAATTCATAAATAAAAATATTGATTAAAGAAATTAAAGTTCAAAATAATTCTTCTCCATGAAAAAAGCCACCATAAGAAAGTCAAAGAAGGAACTGGAAAAAGTACTTACAATGCACTGTGGATAAAATCCTAATTTATATCTATATCTATATCTATATCATCTATATCATCTATATCTATATGTATATCATCTAAATATATTTATTATTTACAAGTAAACATTTAAGTATTTCTTATCCATTACTTAGGAAGAACCCTAGCAACCTAATAGAAAAATAACCAATGGTTCTTAGATAACCCATGTTTCTTAAACATCACAAAAAATGCTAAAACATACTCAGGTGAGAAAGGGTAATTGAAACTCCACTGAGATATGTTCACCTTCACGTTTCCAAATATCCAAAGGCCTAATTCCCTGTGTTGGGGAGGGCACGAGGAAAGTGGCACTGCCATGAGCTTGGCTGTCCCAAGCAACACTGTGCCCAAAAAGGGCAGCTGCTCCCATGAGGCTTTTCACACAGACCTGCACTGGCAGGAGTCACTGCCCCAACCCTGAGAGTATAGTCAGCAGGCATTAAAATCTGCCTTTTACAAGAAACAGGTCTCTACATCTTCTTATTTTATTAAAACTTATTATTATTATTATTTCTTAAAATCTTCTCATTTTAAATAAATTGAGATTTCATCGAAAAATGGGAGCAGAATTGAAAGTTTTTCTGTTCTACCCAGGACATGACGGGAGATCTTTTATGGAGGATGTTTTTTTCTCCTTGACTTGTCTGGAAGTTTTCATCTCTATGTCAATTTCCCAGGCAATTACTGTAAGTATTTAACATACTTTTGTAAAATCTAAAGACAATCAGTGTTTTTAACCTGTAAAGGAGTCCACTTCTATCACCTTTATGCAAGTTAGGAAAAGGTGCCCTTCCTTAGCTGAACTAACCCTGATCTTGTTTTTATGTGAAGACCTAAAGTGCCCCTTCCTTCCCAGAAGCCACAACCCTGCACCTGGACACAGCGTTAACCAGCACGTTGTGTCTCGGCCCCTCTCCCCTCCTCTGCCTTGGACATTGTTTGGTGCAGTGGGCAAACCCACAGCTGTCCC